AGTCCAGTTACTACCATTTCATAAGCACAGCTGTTCGGTTTTTAATTTAAAAACATTTTTTTAATGTTTATTTATTTTTGAGAGACAGAGTGTGAGTAGGGGTGGGGCAGAGAGAGAGAGACACACACACGCACAGAATCTGAAGCAGGCTCCAGGTTCTGAGCTGTCAGCACAGAGCCCAATGCGGGGCTTTACCCAACCGTGGATAAAATCGAAAATACTTTTGGATTCTACTTCGTTAAGTATAAGAAGTATCAACACGAGCATCCCACTAACATTCTGAATTTTGGCACAAGCTTTAAATCTCTTGAGCTATCCATGACGAGGCACATTTGGGTCAGTATCTTCACCCTCTCTTTGGCATGTTTGAAGAGATGCCTAACCTTTCTCTGATCACCACCTTTCAGTCATAAATTGAGTTCCATGAAGCAAGAAATTACATGAATGACGTCGAGATACGGGAGCTTTCACCAGGAGACCTGGTAAAAAAGACAACAGGAAACCGGAAACATTATCGGGTGAGGTAAGTGCTCTGGGCCAGGCACACCTGGTGGCATTCACCCACATGTTGCACTGCTATGAATTTTCCGTGTCTCTGAAATGAATATGCCAAATGGAGCAGTAGGCCTTAAATCATTGGTCTCAGAATCCCTTTACGCCTCTTAAAATTTACTGAGAATCCCAAAGAATTTTTGTATGGACATTATCTATTAATAGGTACCAATTTAGACATTAATACTAAAAAATTTTAAATCTTTATTCGTTTGGCAACATAATAAATGACATGCTATAGGTATATTTTTATGAAAGGTAACTATTTTCAAAACCAAAATAATATGCATGAGGAAAGGGCCATCGTTTTACATTTTCAGAAATTTCTTTACACCTGAGAGAAATTAACTGAACTCTCTTATTTGCTTCTCTATTAAATCTGCTATGACGTCTCATAGCACGTTGCCTCTAGAAAACCCCATTGTACACTCATGAGAAAATGGTAGGCAAAAAGCCAAATAATGAATGAGAGTTCTTCCTGCACCTTGACTCCACTGTCTGTGTAAGCGCTCGGGGCGCTGAGTGTAAGGTCACATGCTTTGCAAGCGATGAGTCTTGACTTCCAGAACACCAGCCGGATGGGTTTCGGCTGTCACCACTGCTGCTTGAACAGCTGACATGGCTTTTCTAGTTTACAGAAGATTTTATGTTCAAGATCATTGCAGCAAAGCTACCGTAGACCTTCACATCCAGGACATTTCCCATTCTGGGAGGTATTTCACACAAAACACAATGAAGAAATTGGAGATAATAAGAGACCTCTAATCAGGAAGAGATAAGACATTTAAATGGATAGTTTTGATACTGCAAACCAATGTTTCAGGATGCTACCTAATTGGTTTTGGGGTGTTTCGTTTTATGTTTTAGTATTTATTATTTAAGGATAGCTGATACACGTTATATTGGTATATGTTATGCGATGCTCATCATAAGTATAGTTATCATCTCTCACCATATAGTGTTATTATTATACTATCAACAGTATTTTTTTTTTTACTGTTTTTTAATTTTATTTTTGAGAGAGAGAGAGAGAGAGAGAGACAGGGTGAGCAGGGGAGGGTCAGAGAGAGAGGAAGACACAGAATCCGGAGACAGGCTCCAGGCTCTGAGCTGTCAGCACAGAGCCCCACACAGCGCTTGAACTCACGAACCGCAAGATCATGACCTGAGCCAAAGTCGGACGCCTAACCAACTGAGCCACCCAGGGGCCCCATGCATTCTTTATGCTGTAGGGATGCCTCCCAGTTCTGTGTAATGCACCTGCCCGGGTCTAATACCCTCCCCGGGATATACTGCAAACTGCAACTTTCACATTCATGACCTTTACCTCATTTGCTACATCATGGTACAAAGTTGTTTAAATTTTTTTTTTAAAGGGAAAAAATCTCATGGATTGTGAGTTATTTTAGTTCTATGAGGATCCGTTTCTTTATATTTCAAATAATGACATTAGAACAGAGTTATATGTTGAAGTTAACATATTAAATTGCTCTCAAAATTTTTAAAGAGAAAAAAAAAGTGACATTTTTGGCCTCACAGCTGCCCCAAAAGATTTGTGATCATACTTTGAGAGCCATTTGCTGGCTTAAGGGATCACATTTATCCTAAATTAGGGGTGTAAAGCACACGTAGTGTCTGTATGTGACTTGCAGCTGGAAGGAACCATCTTATGTAACAGAGATTGGGGGTAACAAACAAATCCCTCCCCTGGACCCACCCGGGCTAGGCTGTTTCTTTCCCAGCAAGCCAACAACCCAGCACCTGATGGATGCACAGAGGGGAAGACAATCTCAAGAGGGACTGGCAGGGTAGGAGGAGGGAATTTGGTGGTCTGCCTATTGGGACTTCCCCTTCTACCACCCAGAGGAAAGGCCTTCACCATGGAGGCCTGAGCAGCTCTGGCAGGCAATGGAGGACTCACTCAGGCACTTAGGAACACGGACACATCTGAAAGCCTGTCATACGACACACACATGAAGAATAACTAAGATAAAAATATAAGTATTTAATAAATCAAAACACAAGCAAACAAAACCTCAGGCTTTCACATGTATTTACCTATAACTCCCCTTCCCCCAGCTGACATGCATTCTACCTAGAAGTTTCCGTCATGCAGCCCTACTCACCATGTCAGGACAACCTATCTCCCACAAGAGGAAGACTCACTTCCTGGGCCCTCCAGCTGCGTGTCCTGGGTTCGGCCAGGTGACCCCCGAAGTTCCCCTCTCCCAGTGAGACTCCTTTGTTAGGAAGTGCCCATGGTCCTCACCACTCCCAGGGATTTGTTGTGGACATTAGTCCTTGTACTGTCTCCTCTCACACAGCTGTGTTGGGAAGGAGTCCTCTCTGAGAGCGCGGTGTGGCCTCAAGTGAATAAAAAGTTGTAATTTCAATGCCCGGGCCCAGGTCTTTGCGCTACTGAAGAGTGGCCGCCAGCAGAAGATGGCCCTATGGATCCGCGCACCTTCTGCATTGGAAAAGCCTGGAAGAAAGAACTGTTAGTTCTCCGCAAAATAGCGTAAATGAAGTTTCCACTCCCAGCGAAGTTGTGGGTCAGACAGCATTTAGGAAAAGATGCCGACTCCTTAAACTGGGTTTAAATGTTTTAGTCTTTGAAAATATTGGTCGAACTTCAGACATGCTTGTGCACTCGGTAACCGTTGTTCACAGGTCCCCACCAGATTTTAAGGATGAGAAGCTCTACTCACCTCATAGCAGGTGGGCGGGAGGCTGCAAAGGTCACCAGAGTTGACATCGCAAAGCCTGCAGTGGCTGTTCCGGCAACACTGCCCGCGATGGCCTCATCTAAACAACCCACGCTTTGGTGAACATCTGCTCTGGGTTATGGCAGAAGGATGAGCATCGGTGGTTAGGGGATTAAGCTTGCTTCAAGGGAAGGCATGAAAGTACAGCAGCGGTAAGAAAATGTCCTCTATGGAGGGCGGGACCCCAGGACAGAGAAACGAAGCAGAAACGGCCAACAGTCCCTCAAAGCATGCAGCTGTACCAGGCGTCTCCTTGAACCCGAAGGGTCGTTATGCTGACTCGTCCCTTTAAAATGATTTCCTCCTACACTGTAATCGCCCATGGACACCCCATCAGTAGGGGGTGTTTCACATGCACAGCCCTGTGTGGTGGTGGGGGGGGGAGATGAGAGTACAGGCCATGTGGGGCCAGGCCACAGAGGCAGAATTGGTCCTTTACTGTTGGGTGTTGTGCTTTCCTCGATCATGTCACTTTTCGTTATACTAAAGCGTAAGCATACTGCTTGCTTCCAGAAAAGAAAATCTTTATCTTCCTATGTCGAATCCTTACCTTCCTCACCCACTGACTTGGAACCAGAAGGGACAGAAACTATCTTTTTAATATTTGTCATCACCTAGCATCATCTGGCATTCAACCAAAGCTTAAATGGGGGGGGGGGGGGGGGGCGGACGACCTGAAATAAGAGATTTTCTTCTAAGATAAATTAGTAGATCTATCTGGTCCTAAATGAAGCAACAAGAACAAAGAGAACCAACAGACTGTTTTTAATCACATCGGGATTATATAAATGGCAAGATCGATTCGCTTGTGTCCTTTAATTATACATATTTTGTTCCTGGGCAATTAAATTAATCCTGGAGGTATCTTTCGGGCCAACCAAATATTTAGATACCTCCTGTTTCCAAAGATACCTGTTTATTCAAAACAATGGGACTGAAATAAAGCGTGAAAAGCAAAGGAAAAAAAAGAAAAAAGGCCTGTGGCTCCTCCTCCAGACACCCCCCTCCCAACTGTGATGAAAAGGAGGGACTGTCCCCCCCCACCCCGGGAGACACTATCCTTGCAGTGTTTTAGGCTGTTTTGAAATTCTTTTCTTTGGAACATTTTTTTCCCCCTTAATATCAAAAAGCTGCTGCTGCTCGCGAGGCCGGGAGGCGCACCAGCGGCCGCGGACACGGGAGGCACCGCTCGGCGGGTGAAAATGCAGATTGATGATGGCGCGTCCAGGGGCGCGCTTCCCCGGGTCTGCAACCCGCACACACCCTGAAGGACAGCGAATTATTCTCTACAGGCTTTTCCTGCGGGAAGGTGCCCCGCGCGGCCGTTCGGCTTCCCCCGGAAAATCGTGAGCGGGGCCCGGCCGCAGAAGAGGAGCCGGCGCGGCGGTCGCGGGAGCGCGTCCGGGGAGCCCGGGGGCCCTGGCCCCTGCTGCGCGCGTCGCCGCGGACCGGCCGTGCGGGCGGCGGCTCCCTGTCCCCGCGGGGCCGGGACTGCGAGCGGACGGCGGCGGCCAGGGGACCAGGCGGCCAGGCGTGAGCGGACTCTGGGCCGCCCGGCGCCGCGGAGCCCCCGCCGCCGGGGCTCGACAGCCCGGTCGGCGTCCCCGCGGGGCGGGGGCACCACGTGGGGCAGGCACCGCGGCCGCCGCCACACGTGCCGGCCACCCGCTGCGAGGCAGGCCCCCCGGAGAGGCTCCAGCCCGCCCCGAAGCCCCGCCGGTCCTCGCAGCTGGCGGCCTTCGTAAAGGAAGCCCTCTCCTAGCGCCGCGCGGGGCCGCGGGGCGAGGCGGCGGCGGCGCGCGCGCGCCCGGGCTCCCAGAGCGGTGCTCGAAGCGAAGCGCCGCGGCAGGAGGTTTGTCCCCGCCCGCACGCCGTGCCGCGCGGCCCTGGTGGTGGGGCAGAGGGCGCGCGGCGGAGATGGGCGAGACCATGTCAAAGAGACTGAAGATCCACCTGGGCGGGGAAGCGGAGATGGAGGAGCGGGCGTTCGCCAATCCCTTCCCGGACTACGAGGCCGCGGCCTCGGCGGGGCTCGCCGCCGGAGCGGCCGAGGAGACGGGCTGTGCTCACCCCCAGCCCGCCGCCGACGAGCTCAGCCTCCCTTTTCACAACGACGGAAAGGTGAGTCGGCGGCCGGCATCGCCGGGGCCTTGAGTGGGGGAGCGCCGGCGATGGTAGAGTCCACCCGCCCCGCCCCCGTGTGACGTCACCGATCCGCGCCCGAGGCCCCACCCGGGCGGGCGTAGAGATCGGGGCCGCGTGGCGCGTGGGCGCTTTCTCCGTTTTGAGCTGCGCTGCTTCCGGGAGGGAGGGTTGTGGGTTTTATTCCGTTAGCCACGTTCCGTTTGATAGACAGAGCTTTTGACCTTAAGACTCAGGTTTCGGGCTGCCTCGGGGGGCTCAGTCGGTTGAGCGTCCGACTTCGGCTCCGGTCGTGATCTCACGGTTCGTGGGTTCGAGCCCCGCGTCGGGCTCTGTGCTGACAGCTCAGAGCCTGGAGCCTGTTGCCATTCTGTGTCTCCCTCTCTCTCTGACCCTCCCCTGCTCACGCTGTCTCTGTTTCTCTCTCAGAAATAAATAAAACATTAAAAAAAAATTAAGACTCAGGCTTCAGAACTTAAATCCCTGCCAGCTTTAGCCGACGTGCCCGCGCAGAAAACAAGAATCCTTTTCCACAACCTTTTTATCCAATCAGGATTTATCTTCCTTATTCTGCAACAACCCAGCCATTTTACTTGAGGACACAGTTACACTTTCTTTTTTTTTTTTCTGTAACAAAAGACATGTTCTTCATATTTTTCCTTACCCAAAGAAAGAGTTTTTTCTTAGCCCACGTTTAATACACTGTTGTTTCCTTTTAACCGGGATATTTCTATTAGTTATAAGGATATGTATTGATTAGAGTTCTTAATCCTTAGAAACCTTCATTTCTAGCGAAAACTAAGACGTGAACAATTATGGATTGTCTGTTCCACAGGCATTCTGTAAATTGGCTATTATGAATTTCACAATTTCTAGAAGTATATTCTTCCTTACAGTAAATTTTTCAGTGTGGCACACCTGTATACTAATGGACTTAAATAGCTCTAGTTCCTTTAATAAGCCAGAAGTAGCTGAACCTGTGTTCAGTAATCAGTGCCTCTGAATCTTATCTTGTTTGGAAATATCTAGATGTGATGTGGGAAACAAAGGCAAAGGAAGTGTAGATAAAATTACATTTCCGTATAACCCGCAGCCTGTTGACAGGTACTTGAGATAGGTTCTTCCAGGAACTGCCACCTGACAATGCTATATAGAGGGAAAAACAACTTTAACTTGACAATAGCTGGACACGCAGGAACTTGTGATTCTTCTTTAACAGGTGAAAGTCCTTTTGGAAACTTGCCTTTACCTTCCCCAACTCCCAAGTATATAATCAGTCACCCCTTGCAAGCGCAGTGCAGCTCTTTCTGCCCAACGGTCCTGTCCCCGTGCTTTAATAAAACCACCTTTTGGTACCAAAGACATCTCAAGAATTCTTTCTTAGGCTCGGAATCCCAGCGTTCCAAACCACATCAGATAGTTTAATTTACCTGTTGTTAATAATTTTGTTTAGCTTATTCACGAAAATTTCATGAGACATTAAATAGGTAACCATCATAGAAAGTTATTTTTCTGGCTGACAATTTTATAAGAGATAAGAGGACTTTATGACTAGTGCATCCAGGGAGAATAAAAATGTTATGCCTGCATCATATTTAACGCTGATAATGTTGGCAAGAACTGACCTCTGTGCTGTGGAGCCATAACATGTACCACGAAGACAGAGTTGGAGAATAAAGAAGGAAGATAGTTTATTACATTGCCTGGCAGATGAAGCTGCAGCAGGCTAAGGCCTTTAAAAACTGGAAGCCCCCCAGAGAAAGGGGCTGGGGTGGGGGAGGTTTATAGGAAAATACAGATCTAGCCGGTTTTGACAGAAATTGGGTTCTGCCAGCCTCCTACCCCTTGCCTTTAGGGTGGTACCAGGTTCTGGAAACAAAAGGCTAACTAAGAATGGAGGAGGGGAGCTTTGCAGAAGAGAAGAAAAAGGTTACTTTAAAACTGAGCTTTGCTGAAGCATTAGGGCAGCCATTTTGATTTTTGTTCGACTTTATGCTTTTAAGTGGTTTCAAAAACTCTTAAGATATGCCTATTTTAAGTAAATTAACAAACTTTAACTGGCTTCTGTTTACTGAAGACTATCCTAGATCAGGTGAACTTGAAAACCCCTTGGATTAGTTGCTGTGTTTCTGAAAGTATACTTAATTTATGTAAGCACTTATTTTTCATTAGGCAAATTAAATATAGCTCTTTACAAGTTAGTTTTGGCTGTACCATCTGTATCTTAAAAAAAAAAAATCACCCCATCTTTAACATATATGTATGGACCTACATAAAAATCCAGACAGGCAAGACAGAGCTTAGGGTTCCTGGTTCCTGGAGAAGATCTTGTAGAACAGGTACATCTCAAAGGCACAGAGAAAGGATATAAACCTCTGCAAGAGGACCTACGTTTCCTAAGTCCAGATCTTTTAGTCTATGTGCAAGACTTTTGAGGTGAATGACATAAGTTCTGGGATTGGTCAAAAGGGTAGATTGTTTCCAGAGCTACAGTTCTGTTCTTGTAAAGCCTTATTTTGTAAGAGAAGTACAATTGTTTTTAATTCCTCAAAGAATTGGATTGCAACCTGAATGATCTCAAAAGGCTGACCCAGCCATCCAACTATATTATCTTCAGTTTGCTTCCTCATATCTGGGAGAAGATTTTCAACTAAGATGGAAATCAGAAGAGTATTATGTTCCAGATTTAGAGCTGTGTCTTGGGAATGTTTACTAAATTCTTCCACAGTGGCTTCAAAATATTTTTTCTTTCCGTCTGGGTACATAGTTTTATTTTAGCTTAGGGGAGGTCTCAAAAAAAGAAAGTTTCAGGTTCTGAATATGAGCTTCCAGTTTGACCAACTGCTGACCATAGAGGTACTTAAAAAAAAAAGTCCTTTTGGGTATTTTGTCAGGTTTCGGTTGGGATTCACTGAAAGTAAATATTTCTGGTTTTATTGAACCACCCTTCGGATGCAAGAAGCATCCCAAATTGGGTGCAAAGGACACTAACCTCCCAAGATCCCGAGCCACTCCCAAAGATAGCCCAAGGAGGAGCTCAGACAATTTCCCTGAGAGCTGGGAACCGGCGGTGGGCTCCTCGCCTCAAATGCAGTGCCGCACGCATTTCTGTGCAGCCATGTCTTTGGAGCCCCCAACCTGACGGTTAGTTGAACTGCCTACACACACCGGGACATGTGTGTTCCGGGCAGGCGGATAACCGAGCCAAGTTCTCAGGACACAAAAAGAGAAAAACAATAAGGCAATAGCTGTCGCTGGGAGAGAAAGGATCAATACCCAGTGGGTTCCAGAAAGCCAATCCAGGAGTCACAATTCAGAGGTCTAATCTTGACATCCGTTTTTATCCTGCCAACTTGAATTTGGAAAGGAAGGGACAACTTAAAATTGACCTTCCTCTCTGGACCTGGCACCGCAGATAGAGATCTGGGAGAGCCGACCGGTAAGAATCTCACACTTTGCCAGCTTCTGACAGTTTTCTCAGGCTTTGCAGTGAGGGGGTATCCCAGCGGGTCTCATCCGAGTCCTCAAACTGTGGACGAGAAATAACTTTCTTTTACCCTCTGTGGCATGCGCTTGGCTGACCCCCTTTTTCTCTAGGGCAACTTGTAAATGGATAAGCTTATGGTTTTAAGTTCTCTGTTGTGGCCACTGTAATTCAGGATTGTCTTTGATAAGGTTAAGGTTTCAAGGCCGAGCCTTAAAACAAAATTTTACTCACCTGAATTCTCACCAGTTGGACCCAGTTCAGTTTTAAGTGAGACCCAGCCCAACCCCAGGGCCAGTCTGGTTATTCACTTGGACCGAGTTAGGAAGAACAAGTGTTTAAGTAAAGTCCGAAGCTTCATCATGGAAAAGCTGCAGTGCTGGGATCCAAGAGGGACTTAGCCGTGACCTCCAGAGGCAGCGAGAAAGCAACCGACCCAACAGATACCTTTGCCGGGTTGGTTGGTCATGGCACCTGGGAACCATGGGTGCGGGGGAGGGCATCTCCTTTAGGTCCTTCTTCTGACACCAGAACTGATAAAAGATAACTGGGGCATGTTAAAAATTGAAGAGTTTATTGAAGCACAAATGGGTTTGCATCGGGCAGCGCCAAGCCGGAAGTGGTTAGGAGCACTCTGTGGGACAGGAGCCAGTGGAAGAACGCGTAAAGCAAGTACAGAAGCCAGGGAAGGAGATCCTTTGCCTGGCTGCAGCTTCAGCCTGGTTTGCTGTCTCTGATGGGTTATCCTTAGCGTTTAGATTTTGTAACCCTGGGGCATTTATTGACTTAGATTGTGTTTGCTTATGTAGACCACCAGGGCTTGAGAGCCACCCCAGTGTGTAACGGCCTCGGGGTTTCATTAATTTAACAGCGCAGATTTGCCAGGTTCAGGAGAGAGCTGCATGCACAGGGACTTCGAGAAACTACTTTAAGAGACTGGCAAGGAGTAAAATATGACTACAGAAGAGAGAGCCTGAATGACATTGTGTGGCTGGAAAGGTAGATTGGAGCCAATTCTGAAGGATTTGACAGATCCTGAGAATTTGAAAACGTCTTTCGGCAGAGAAAAAAAGGAAGATGAGAAAAACTTTTACATGGTGTCTCTAATTTGGCCAAATCTTGAGCTGTCAGAAATGCTTTATTTTCTAATTCTGCTCTGTTTCTTCTGATTGCAATGCGATTGTAATGCAGTTACTAAATAAGCAGTCTCTGATCGGAGGTAAAACCTCCAATTTCTTCAACTGTTTCTGCTTTTTCTGTCATGTGGGGAATGTGTATTGTACTTATATGGGGTGATTGAGTGAAGTCTGTTAAGTTTTTTGCGAATCTAATGGTACGTGGTAAATATAGAATCAAAGATGTCACAGTAATTACACAGCATGGGGGAAGCCTAGGAATTCAAGAGCTTGGGCTTTCACTGTCTGGTGACTTTGGGTAAGCCTCTGTTTTCTCACCTAAAAATAGGAAATCATTTGGTGATGAGAAGATTAATTGA